GTAATAAGAGGGGGGGGGGGGGGGGGGGGGGTCTTTCTCGTTCAGCAAAAAGAGTCTGTGTACTTTGCTTTCTACTTCAATAGAAATGAGAAATGAGAAGCGTTTTTAATAGGGAAAAAAAGAGTTTATGCTTGCATATCATTCGTTCTTTCGGTTTTTTCACCTCGAATTACGATGCATTCATTCTTTTTTTTTATTTATTTAGCCTAATATTGAAAGCAGAAAAATTGGAAAACGCCGTTTTGTTGCTTCTGAACACACACTAAGGAGGTTTGTTCAATTTTCTCTATTCGTTTAGTCATACGAATGATCGAAATGTCATAATAACAAATATGTCGAATGTCATAAAGTACACAGTATTTCCATTCTAACAAGTAGCCTAACCTAAAGTAAAAATAAGATTCATAGGCGGTCTTTTGGGAAGTCGTGGCCTAATGGTTAGAGAGTCGGACTCGTAACCCAAAGGTTGCGGGTTCGAGTCTTGTACCGGCAGGGATTGTAGGTGGTGGGGGGGGCGGTGAATGTACAGGCTCTCTCCCACCTTCAATACCACGGTGCCCTTGAGCAAGCCACTGAATCTTCAACTGCTCCCCTGGCGCTGCAGCATAAATGACTGCCCACTGCTCCGTGTGTGTGTGTGTGTGTGTGTGTGATTCTGCTCCTGACAGCACTGCCTTGCTCGTCTGCTGCAGATAAGATGAGCTTTTACTCCAATAGATGGCAACAAAACTCTAGCCTGCAGTCAAACTCTACCTATAGCTCAGAAGACCAGGCGCATCAGGAAACTATGAAATATATATGTCTTACCTACAGTAATTACATCAAACATAATTCCCTCAGCGTAAGCGCTTCGTTAGAAGAACCCAGGTGAAATTGATCTCTTGATAATCCTTAACGGAGATAAAGCTGAAGTAACAGCAATTCAAGAAGAAGGAGAAGCAGTTAGTTCCAGCTGGAATCATATTTGACTGTCATTTATTGAAAATGTTAAAGATTAGAGTCTTATCTTGATGTTTGCTTTTATTAATAAATAACAATGCATTTTATTTATAATACCCAACGTGCTACAAAAAAATACAAGTCAACACCCTATTATTTAGAATTCTTATTATAGAATAATGCAATTTTCAAAAAACACAAATGCAATATATTTAATTTTTTTAAATGAAGAAACGCATGGGCCGTGAATGCTAAAAATGGCCCTCATTTATCTTCACAAATGTTTTCTTTTCTCCCCGCAGCTCTACAACTACGTTTGTCTTTAATTTGTCTCTCTTCTCTCTTTTGCAGAAGTGTCTAATGTAATTGAACTCTAATGCATTAGGGATGGTGATTGAAATGCCAAGGACACGTATAATTTCCCAGCGAGTGCTCTCTCTTGCTCTCGCACCCGGGGCCCCTCTACCTTACGGCACCGCTGACAATCAGCCCTCGTCAGTGTAATTAAATGATGGTTTATAAAGTGTGAGAAGCCACTATGACCAAAAGCAAATAGGTGCTTATCGGCGAGCTGCTGAACAACCCTAATTTTCTCCAGTGGCAATTTCCATCTGTTATCTGGGCTCGGAATCGGCCCCTTTTAGCCCGCTGCAGCATAAATGACTGCCCGCTGCTGTGTGTGTGTGTGTGTGTGTGCGCGCGATAAATGCAGAGCACAAATTCCGAGTATGGGTCACCATTCTTGGCCACACTTCACTTCACATTTTTTTCCACTTTTGAGGCATTTGTGCAAATGACAATAGGCCTATAGGCCCTACAAACAAAAAAGTGACATTACATGTGGTCAAGTACGGTGACCCATACTCGGAATTAGTGCTCTGCATTTATCCCATCCAAAGTGCACACACACAGCAGTAAACACACACCGTGAACAGCCATTTTTGCTGCGGCGGCTGGGGAGCAGTTGAGGGTTTGGTGTCTTGCTCAAGGGCACCTCAGTCGTGGTATTGAAGGTGGGAGAGAGTGCTGTACATTCACTCTCCCCACCCACAATCCCTGCCGATACGAGACTTCAACCCACAACCTTTGGGTTACAAGTCCAACCCTCTAACCATTAGGCCACGACTTCCCCTATGCATAGGCAGCCGTATCCAGAAGGACAATAAATATGAATACAGTGCAGTTATAAATATGTGACACTATTGTCATCATATGCCATGAGTGACTGTAAAAAAAGTGTTTCATTAAGTACACATTTCTGAAGTAGTTTTCATGGTCAATTACTTTGTGACACGTGGCAATAAAGAATGTACATTACTAACATTTTACAGAATTCCTGGATCATCTTCTTCTGCTTCAGTTTCTCTCTGACTGACGGACGCAGTTTAGAGCAGCTATAGAACATGAGTGGTTTAGCAGAAAGTAGTGCACTCCAGTCCAAAACAGGTATATTTGGGTGAAAAGACGATGTTACATACAGCCAAGTGCAAAAGATATGTGGTAGAAGACATAGAAAAGAGAGAAAAACACATGGCTAATAGTAGGGGCAACCAAATAACAATTCAAACTGAGGATTATCCAAGAGAGAGTGGATAAAGAGGGTTGTCTTTATCATTATGATTTCATAGGATCCTCAGTATGAGCTCTTAACAGATGTTCACTATACTGCGTATATATACGTTTGTTTGTTTGCTTTTGTGTTTTGCCGCTAGGTGTCAGTGCAACATAAGGTAAAATAATTGGGCAAAAACAGGGTGAAAGGACCTATGAAAGCCAACATAGTAAACACAGTATAATCTCAGTTAGAAAATAAGCATTTGAGTAGTTTGATTTTGACTTAAACTTTTAGTTAAGATATACTCATTTTGATAACTTTTCCATGTATCAACTAAAAACGAATCCTTTATTTATAATTTGCTTATTCTATATTTTATTACATTAGGATATGAGCTGTAAATTCGCTGAATTAACGTTAATAATATGTCTATTTATATAAGATTTGCTTTGTAAAAATGCATTTTGTCTGTATACTAGGCTACACCATAGTCATGCTTAGTTTTGGCTCTTTTGTTTATCCATATGTTATGCACATACGTTTACCCAACGTGTACTAATCCAGACAACAGGCTTAGTTTCTTTCTTATGTTGAACACAGAAGAAGATATTTTTAATAATTTTGAAGAACCAAACAGTTGTTGGTACCCATTGACTTCCATAGGGAAAGAAATACAATGGAAGTCAATGGGGACCATTTACTGTTTGATTACCAGCATTCATCAAAATATCTTCTTTTATGATCAATATAAGAAAGAAACTTATACAGGTTTGGAGTGACATGAGGGTGAGTAAAT